GTATCATCCCTCAAGCTGCTTTTTTTTTGGTTTTTTTCCAGACAGGGTTTCTCTGTGTATCCCTGGCTGTCCTGGAACTCACTCGGTAGACCAGGCTGGCCTCGAACTCAGAAATCCACCTGCCTCTGCCTCCCAAGTGCTGGGATTAAAGGTGTGCGCCACCACCGCCTGGCCATCCTCAAGCTACTTCTTAACACTAGTTATTCAGTCTCACAGACTCAAAGTTCTCACCAAATTTTCACTTTTATTTCAACCAGTATAATAAGCCTCTTTCCATGTACTTATTATTCCCAGGGAAGCTTGGGATTTTGAATTTAGTTCCTGAAAGCAGTTATTCAGAGTTACCATATCTGCACTGGTGAAGGAAAGACAGCCTGAGGCTCTGTGTTAGAAAAATCCTTTGTTTTCAAGCACCATTATTTTAACTACTTCCTATAAATATATCAGAGACCTTAAGAAAAATACTTTCACTTGACAATTTAAAAGCTTTAATCACGACTTGAAAATGACCTCAGAATATTATGAACCTTCTACCAGGGGCCTGATGTGTAGAACTCACTTGCTGAGCATGAGGGGATGCTACAGCAGCCAAGTGCACTGAACAATCTGTTATTTTATGATTTTAAAAGGAAAACAGTCTTCATCAAAAGACTGGCAACAGAATATTTTTGGAAAAATTACAGAGGATTATGTAACACTTACTAACTGGATAAAACTGGAGTGTTGGCTAGAGAAGAATTCTGCTGGCTAGACCTCACCACTCCCTAAGCTGTTCCTACACTTAGGGCACCGCTATCTGCCTCTTGCCTGGCATGACTGTTCTCTCAGCCAGTGCAGACGACCATTAAACCATGAACTAGAATCCCATTTCCTTTTAAACCCGAAAGAAATCTGAGGTGGGATAGAGTCAGTCTCAATGGAACTGAGGATGAAGCAGGCTCCTCCCAGAGGCAGCAAAGTCCCTGGTTCTGCCCTCACATCCGCCTCGCTCCCCACAGGGGCCTCAAGCAAGGTTAAGTGAGCTGCTGAGGGCTAGGCTACCAGCAAGCACTCACAGTAGTGTAATACTTGGGGCTCCTCCCTTGCACACTGAACAGCAGGTAGGGCAGGTAGAGCACTAGGGACGTCAGTCAATAGCAACACAGTCCTCAAATACAGGCAAACATTCTGATGGATTTCATTTGCAACTACATGGAAATCCTAACAGCTACCAAAATGCAAATGCAAAGACAGAGTACCCAGTTGTGGACAACCTGCAAGGCAGTCAGCATAGGAGCAAAACACAAAGCAGGAGAATACACTTCTTAAAAGCATTAATATAGAAAAATGGAAACAACTAGACGGTTAAAACCAAATGTTGGTGCATTCAATCCACCATAATAAATGGATCTTTATGTACTTTAAAGATGGCCTTAATTTGTAACTAAGGAAAACAAAGGTGTATGAACAGAACGAACTATGAGACCGTATGCCAAAGAAACAGAGAAGGTGCAGCAGGAGAAGTAAGGGAAGAAGAAGCTGTACCCTGAGACAGACGTGGGAGTGAGCAAGCTGAGCTGTCTTGGAGTATCTTAGTCAATGCTCATCCCTTGAGTCAACTTAATTATTTATTATTATTATTATTATTACAGATATGGTATCATTATTTAGTCTGAGCTATCCTGAACTCACTATGTAAACCCAGCTAGCCTTGAATTCACATAGATCCTTCTGCCTCAGCCTACACCGCCACAACCTGCTTTAACTCTTAGTTAACTGTAGTGAAATGGAAGACAAAGGAGCTGCACAGCTGTACTGTCACATTCCAATTGCTGATGGCCTCCACACAGACAGCATGAGGTAGAGGCCCTGCACAGGCAGGGCTGTTCTGCACCTCCAGACATTGTTGAGCCTCCACCTACTGAACAGTGCATCTATAGTCTATAAAGTGTGTGAAGACATTCTCAATTTGAAAAGAAATGGACTGTGTTTTTTCTCCTCAGTGGTGTCTCTTTAACTCTTCTTTTCCAACCACTACAAAAGCAGCAAAGGCTTCATAAGCCCTTAATAACCTCTACAGCAGCCAGTTTTCTCCATGTTGTTTCTCACCAACTTGAGAATCCAGAATAGACAGCTATATCTGGAACACAGTGATGTGCTGCTGCTCTTAAAATCTAAAGAGGCAAAGCAGGACAGCTGACAGAAACCCCTGCAGTTTAAACAAACATTTTATATTTTTTATTGGCTATTTTATTTACTTACATTTCAGATGTCATCCCCTTTCCCTATTTCCCCTCCCTAGAACTCCCTATGCCATCCCCCTCCTCCTTTACGCTTTTATACCATTTTGATTACGTGCATGTATTAAGGTCAGTTCTAGGTTGAGGGTCTAGCAATACAACAGATACAAATAGTCAAGGAACAAGCATGACAATAAACACAAATAGTCAAAGAACAAGCAAGGCATTGAACCCAATTCCGTGAACACTCCCATGACCACTGTTTCTAAGGGCTTATCAGGATGACCAAAGTATCTGAGCCTACTTCCCTGTACTAGCTCAAAGTCATTTTCATGTCTGAAGCCTACTTCCTTGTTCTAGCCTAAAATTTAGATTCCTGTCTGAAATTACTTCTTTAAACAAACATTTTAAACTAAAGCTTTTCTTTAAAAGAAAAATGATATTTAAATATAGCATTTTTTTTATTCAATTCAGTACAAAGTAAAGAGGGAAAAAAATACACTTAAGCTAAAAAGCTTAACAACAGAAGAAGAAAGGGAAGGAGAAGGGCAAGAGCAGGAGGCCATTTTCAGAAGGAGATGGTGCCTCCTGGTAATCCTCATTTTGTTTTTTGTTTTTTTGGTTTTTCGAGACAGGGTTTCTCTGTGTAGCCCGGGCTGTCCTGGAACTCACTCTGTAGACCAGGCTGGCCTCGAACTCAGAAATCCTCCTGCCTCTGCCTCCCAAGTGCTGGGATTAAAGGCGTGCGCCACCACCGCCCGGCCCCCTGGTAATCCTCATGATGGTCAGCTTTAGGCTTTTTCATTGGAGGACAAGCTTGGGCACTGTGAAAAGCTTTTTAGAAGGGTCTAAGTTTAAAAAGGAGTCAATTGAGAGCTTTCCAGACAGATAGTAGGCACATGCTGGGAATGGGGACAAGAGCAGGGACTCTCAGCCCCAGAACTGCAGCTAAATGTTGAGGTCTCAGTCCTGACTGTTATATCCACCAGCCACCAGAATCCACTGGGTGCCAGAGAGAGATCTAATGTGTGCCTCAAAGCCCTCAAAAGTATCAACCCCATCAGCTTCCATAGCGCAGTGGCTGACGCCTCCACTAGACTCTAATCCCATCAAGGCAGGGGCTCCTGGTAGGTATAGATGAAGCCATGTATACATGTATACACATGAAGACAATGGCAAGTGTGAAAGGTAGCAGGACTGTACCCAATGAAGCCCAATGAAGCAGCGGCCATGCATGCTGAACAACCCAAACAAATGACAAAGTAGCATGTAATCTGGGGAAAATGGACTGACTGTGCGATGTGAGGTTGGCTCATGTCACTAGCGTGTTTCCATGGAAACTCGCTCCCTATCTTATTCTTATTCTCTATCTAATGCTCTAGCACAAACACAAAGTACAAGTGGTCAGACTAACACTAAAAAGCAGGACTTTTGAAAAAAAAAGACAAAAACCAAAAACATAGTATGATACTTTATTAACTTTCTTAGTGTTCTTTAGAGTCACAGAACTTATAGGATGAATCTATCTATCTACCCACCCACCCACCCACCCACCCACCCACCTACCTACCTATGTTATTTATCTAAAGAATTTACTGGAATAACTTACAGGCTACAATCCAACTAATCCAACAATGGCTAGCTATGAAGGAAAAGTCCAAAAATCTAGTAGTTGCTCAGTCCCACAAGGCTGGTCTTCTGTATATGCTGGAATCCCGAAAAAGCAGGCTTCGATACCAGTAAAGGAATGAATGTACTAGTCCCAAACTGCAAAACGTACACACTTTTTGCAATTTATCTGTGGCCCAAACTTACCAGAACCACGTGAGAGCAGAGTCAGAACCTGCCTGACTTAGGGCTGTATGAACCCTGGTCACTGTTTAGTGCTGCTATAGGTTCTGTTCTAGACTTACTGGGAACTATAGTACCGCCTTAGAACTTAGGACAGTAGTAAGCTCAAATTTGTAACCCAGTTCTCAGTAGTGAGTAGATAATTTACATTTGCAATCTCAGCATCTAGGAGGGTAAAAAGTTCAAAACCAACCTGGACCACATGGTTCATAATAATAATGTATAAAATTGTAAAAATCATACTAAGCAAAATAAGAACAACTCATATAAATACTGCATGTTTTCTCTCACATTGATTCTAGAGTCTTAAGAAACCACATGAAGGTAGACGGGAAACTATTTGGAATAGGAGAAACAACAGCAGAAGCAGGAGGATCAAGAGGGCAGCAATGGTAAGCTCAATTCTTTATGTGCACGTAGGGAAAATCACAACAAGACTCAAGACCTGTTGTTTCATATAGTTAACAAGTGCCAATGAAAGAGATGTATTCTGACATGCATTGGGTGCAGGGTTCAGTAACAGTGACCATGAAGCTACACAAGAAGAATGAATGCTTGCTAAATTAATTAAACTGAATAAACAAGAGACTGGATGATTTGTGTGCTCATCGCTGTTGACATGAACAGTGTGAACCCCCCACAGCACATATGAATGCCACATGATTACGTTTATGGACTTATTCCTTAAAATCGTGGCAATTTGGCAATAGGATCCCAGTGATTAATGGGATTCAGATGATTTGTGGAAAGTGAAACAACAATAAAACCCTTTTCACAGAAGTTTCCTCATTTCCTTCCTAATTCCTTCTCGAGTAGCTGCCCAGAAGGCAGAGAGCCCTTGTCAGTGGGCTAAGTTTGGATGCAGCTGCTGTCTGGAACATGAAAGAGATGTGAAGTCACTCTCCAAACCACTGTTTGCACATCACTCACCTGACTTGGTTGTCAGCAGGGAGACCAGATCCTTTCTGCACTTGTGTCACGTGGTAGTGGCTACCGCCATGGCTTCAAAGGAAGGGCACAAGCCTCTTACTGCTCTTTTCAAAAGTTTCTGGGAAGACCTTTCTGGGGGGAAGGGAGAGACTATTTTGTTTATCCTAGGTACTGAAAACACGGTAATTAGTAAAACAATCAAGATGGTCCCTTGGGAGCTGCAGATGCTAACAATATATAAATGTGGGCATATGGGGATTAAGCTGTGGAGAAGGAACTAGCATCCAAGGGACGTTACAAAAACCTCCCTGAGAAGGTAAAGCTGGGAGCTGAGAATGTAACTAGCACTTCTCACCTCAAGGGAACACGGATAAGAGGAAGAAACTAGGTCCAAGCAAAGCAGAAGAGTGAAAAGTAACTGCAGAAAGCAGGATGGGGTGAAGCGTAGAAGCCAAGGCTGGCAGGAGAGAACAGCCTCCCAGAGGAAATCCAGTTTGAAACTGGTTTCTACTTCTGAGGTTCTGGAAGATCCTTCTGTCCCCTAAAGCATACCTAATTTGTATTCATGAGGGTAGGAGGAACACTGTAGCATCTAGAGAGCTCATGATGAGTCTGAGCAGCAACTGAGGCTGGTGCCATGTGCTGCTGCTGTAAAGCAAGACAGTCTGGCAAGACGCTTTGCAACAACAAATTTACCAGAAACATAATTTGAGTTATTCAGATGTCAATGTGAAAATCTGGCAGTGTTCAAGTTTCCAACCACAGCTCTAACAGTATAAATTGTACTCTGTATTTTGAACTGTGACAGTTTGAAAGCAAATGCTGGTACTCTGTCTCGAAAACCCAAAGTAATAACCTACTCCCATGCCAGCTCCATCCTGAACTTTGAAAGTTCAAGAGTGAGCACGTCTTTTCTTCTCAACTGTTTGCTAGCCCACCTATTGCTTTCCTCCTTTCTCTGGTTATGTACACTTGGCACTCCACTAACATTTATGAGCATCTGAAATCTGCCTAGTTCTAGAATAGGTGCAGGGAAAATGTACCATTAAAAATATTGACAGAAATCTCTGTCCTCCTTTGCTAGCTCAATCAGCAAACAAATCAATTCAATAAAGGGTATGCAGTAAAACAGTGATCAAGTGAGAACTTAACACACACACACACACACACACACACACACACACAGAGCACAGCCCTCAATGGGGGCTAAGAGTGCTTAGTAAGCGATGGGCTCCCTTATGCCCAAAGGAGCCCTTGAAGAGATAAATGAATGTGAAGAGGAGCAAACTACAAACATGAAGAAAAGAACGGTCCACAGAAGTCCTGGACGCAGGGACACTCTGTGCAGATCAGGCAACGCAGCAGCCTGGGGAGCCTACCCCACCATCCCAGGAGAGATGAGAATGGAGGCACGGGACTCTTGTAGAGCAAGCATGCTGCTACTGAGTTAAGATTGGCTGCTGTGGAGTAAGAGCAAGCCAGGAATCCTGTGCTCACCTTGAAGACACTGATGCCTTTGCAGCCCTTCCGAGTGGGAGCCATTTTCCTTTCACAAGCCTTCGCACAGTTCACTAATCCATCTGACCATCTATCAGCTGAGCCTCCTGCCCTCACACCATGACCTTCACTGCACTGCATACCCCTCTCCTCATGCAGCTTTCTCCATAAGCTTGTCCCCATCCCTCAGTTACTCACTGCAAGATAAATCCCTCAACAAAAGCACTCTTCACCACCCCAAATTCACAAACCTACCCTGCCCCCCCCCCGCCCTGCCACACCCTGGCCTACCTGTCCTCCTCTTCTCCAGGTCTCAGCAACTGTAACCTTCTGGGACCTCCATACCTCAGATCCCATTACCTCTCTCCCTTGTCCCTCATATAGTCTCTCCTTCTGGTTCATGGCCACTCAAATGATATAGTTTCTTTGGGACTGTCCAGCAGAACCTCAGCACAGATTAAACACTGTACCCTGCTCCATACCCACTCCTGATCAGGAAAAAAACTAACAACACAGGACACAAGTCAGTAAAACTGTACTGTTAGGTAAGGGGAAGGCAGCCACATACAAGGAGTGTCTCGATTGGCAGCTGAGACTATCCATCACCGGCATGGATATTCCCATTGGGTCATTCCCCTCTAAAGGGGACCCATCGACCTACCCTTCCTTCCTTCTGAGATAACCCCATGTCTCCCTCTACTGCTCCCAACATGCAGGTGTGGTGGCAGACACTGGCACACATGATGGCATGGCGACTAGAGTGTGGGTGGAGACACGAAGTGAAGGTGAGTCAAGGACAGAGACACAGGAGGAAGTGAGTGTGGAATGAAGGAAAAGGGACCAACTTTGAAGCCTTAACAGCTCCTCCCTCTTAGTTAGCCAGCCATCTCCACTTTCACACACACCCTTACCCAGTCTAGAACCTGGTGTGCTTGTAGAGAGGATGCAGCCACTCTCTGGTAGTTCTCCTATCAGATCCATGAAGGCAAACACTGAATTGAAAAAAATGATTCCACCACAAACCCACACCAATGAGCTGCAACTTGTTTCTCTACGCTTACTCAGGAGATCTTGTATGCACATGCAGGGAAGGCCCCACTAACGGGAATGGGGATTTCCACTTCTCTCATGCCCTAGTACCATATCTCACCTTTCACAACTAATAGATTTGGCTTCTATTCCATTGAAAGACAACGTATTCGGCGGTGATCATGAGTCTAAAAACTTCTTCTCTATGACTCAAAATCCTGCATGGCTAATATCTATCTACCTGCTCTTACCCAGTGGCTCCCAATGCTCTTTGCTACTTTCAAAAGTACCTCCACTGTCACCTCTGCCTTCTCTTTGGGGCTCTATTCAATTATCCTATACCACTCTTCATTCTTTGATTAATCTGAAGTTTTCGTGCAGAGATATACAAAAAAAGAATAAAGCAGCTGGGTGCAGGAGATGTTTCAGTAACTGAAGTGCTTTTTATGCATGAGGACCCCTGGCACCCATACCAAAGCTGGGCATGGTGGCCCACATCTGTGCCCTACGGTGGTGAGGGGTTCACTGGCTGGACAGCCCAGTGGAACTGGCAGACCCACTTTCAGTTTCAAAAAACATACTGGAGAATGACAGAGTAAGACCCCTTTAGTCAACTTCTGGCCTAACTCACACTCCCTCTCTGTCCCCTTCCCCCCTTCCTCCCCTCCCCCGCCACATACCACAAAGGCAAGTACCACATACATGTGCTCATACATGCAAAGCAGAGCCCACATGACAGTGACTACAGCAGGATGGATAGGGTAGGCTCACTCACAGAAGATCTTGAAAGCCAGAGCAGAGAGATGATTTCTGAATGAGGACACACTCATGACCAGAGCAGTGTAAGACCCAAAGCTCAGAGCTGGACAGAACAGGAAAGCAAAGGACAGAGTGGGCTGGACGGAGGCAGAGGGGACAGGGATGCACAACGGACTGTAACAAGCTAGGGAAACGCAGGCTCATAATGTAAGCATCCTGAAAACACAACAGCTGGTGAGATGCAGGGAGATGAGAAGGGAGGGAGGGACAGACAGACATTTGCAAGGGGAAACACTGCAAGCATAGTGACTAGCAGTCCTGATGGAGGAGTCAAGCCCACATGCCAATTCCACACAGAGAGGGCACAATGTTACATGGGAGTCACAGCACATGTAACATGTAAGGCTGAAGTTGCAGGTTTCAGCTCCCTTGAGTCTAAAAGAGAAGCAAAGGCACAGAAGTGATTTGTCACCTGTGTCACTAGCTATGACAGAGCAGGAACAAGAACCCATCTCCTGACGCCTCCTACACTCTTATTACCACCTCTTCTAGAACCTGGCCATCTCAGACAAGGGCATATATGAGGTTCCAAGGCCCTAGCAAATAGGCTACACTAGAACAGGTGCTGAGAGTAGACAGGCCTACATCAGGTTGAGATTGTTTGAACTTATTAGCAGCTGGCTGGGTCAAGTCCACAATGCTCAATACTTTATAGGAAAATTGTTGAGCACTATTTTTTGTTTGTCTTCTTGCTAATCCCCTAAACCGTAACAAAACACATAAAGAGAAAGAACTGTAAAACACATGAATTCCTCTGAGCAACTTGCCAATTCTGTGTTTCCACAGACAATTTTTCAAAGTACCAGTCCGTAGTGACAGCAGCCAGTGCAGCTGAATGAACCCAATCAAGACACCAGACTGGACTGTGGATTTGTTCTCATCTTACCTTCCTTCCTCATACAATTCATATTGACATTGGATGTTCTGGCCACACATGTGTGAAGCACCTCAAAACTCTAACCTGAAATGTCTCTCTGTGGCTAAGTGGCACATGCTGTTCAGCTTGTTTTCACTCACGCAAACTGTGTCCTTGAACTTAAAGGCAACGAAAAGTATCCAGTTTAGAGTTTGAACAGGAAGGAACCATACACCAGTTTCCTCTAGAACAAGCTGCTTTTTCAGCTTCCTGTATAAAAAGAATTTCTGTGTTTTTTAAACGGAATACTAAAAAACAATGAAGATAGACACGTAAACCATTAAGTCCTTTTAAAGAGCAATTTCTTCTAATGATTGTGATATTTAAATCAAGTCAGGAATAGAAAGAGAAACTAATAAAACAGAAATGTAGTACAAAACTTTAAATAAATTATACAATTTTTAGATTGTTATCTAAAGGAGCTCACATTTTCTTCCTGGAAATAAGACATTAATACTTTGAGTTTTAAATGTCCCAAATACTGAGGTGCTATTCTTGTTAGGGCAGATAACAGCAAGGTTTTCTTTGTTGGCATAGTTGTTCCTATTGTCATAAAACTGTTTTGATCAAAACATACACATACATAGACTAAATTCCCTGTTAAACACAGCTGCTTTTTAGACTTTAACTCCAGTAATATTCAATTGTTTCTTTTTTTTTAAATGTATCTAAAAATGAAGGTTAAAAAAAACAAAACAAACAATCAAAAACACAAACCCAGGATTCTGAATCTGAATGGAAAGGGAGGTAACCTCCTTGAGGTACTGAACTTAATTGTCTTCTTCCAGTTTCCTACAGAGTAAGCAGGTTCTGGACTAGCTAGTGCTCACAGCCTCATTCCAGCTAACAGGTG